TAATTATGACAATTTTTTGTTATTTTCTATATGTTGCTTGTCTGTCCTCCTCCAGTTTTCCTAAAAAAAAGGCATTTTTCAAAGATCTTCTAAAAATACCTGATTTGATATGCACTCTTAATTCTCAGCCCTTCTAACGTACAAGTACACTTGCGCGTAACTAAAGGTATACAGGATGCGGGTAAATTGATCAGTGTGAGTTCACCTTTATTTCTAGTGCACTTCCACAACTTTGTAACAACCCAGCTAATTAGTATGAAATTAGGGACCCTAACAAGTCTTATTTTCATATTTCAATACTTGAGTATGTAGGTCACAAGGTGGTTGTTTTATTCGAATAAGTTAAGTCAAATAAGTGCAGTCGGAAAACTTCAATGTAATTAGGTCCCCTATTTTTTTTCATATAACATTAGGCTATATAGATATAATATTATGTAGATAGCTTGTCAACGCACACGAACTTAGTATTGCCCTTGCTTCTGACGAGTAGATGAACACACGCACAGTAAACTAGTAAAAGATCCGGGAAGACTTGTTGGCAATTCTTAAGCCGTTTATGGCGTTTTTATTAGTTTAATGTCAGTTGCATTTTTTGTATTGTTAATTTTTAAGTTAATTTTAGTTAGGATAACTTAATATTAGACGTGCTATATGACCCGAGTAGCAGATAAGAAACCGTTATAACGGTTTAAAAAAAAAAAGAAAAAAAAACTCTAGAGATACAATAGATCATATTTTATACTTAACAAATGTTATTTTAATGCCTTGAATAAACATGCAACGACCTTATAGGACATGGGTTTGATTCTTATGATTATTGGACTTGTCTTGAAGTACATCTCTGTATTTCAAACTGTATAAATTATAAAATGCCTAAAATAAACATGTATTCGTGTAAACTTGTATATAACAATACAATTTAATAATTAAAAATCACGATTTATACTTATAGCAGTAAATTAACTATATGTTAAGCTTCGAAGAAAAATAAGATGAAATGATTGAATACTTCTATAGTTTAATATAAATTTAATAAAAATTTGTTTAAACATATATTAGTTAAACTTATTTGAAAATGATTTTTAACTTCGGCCCGACTTTCAAATTTTAGCAGCTGGTACGGAACTAAAGATGAGATTCTGATTCAAGTAAAATTGCTTTAGCCCATCTTTGTGAATGATTTGGAACTCTCTTAAATTTAATAATTTTTTTTTTTTGGATATTTTTAATAAATTTTGTAAGAGAAATATTTTTAATGGTCTTCTTAGTTTTTGCAACTATAACTACGCAATACAACCGTAAAAAAAAGAATCGTGGTATATTTTTTTTACTAACTAATATTAATAATATACTTGAAACTAAGTATATAACTAATATGAAGTTAGTTATACACATACATATATTTATTTTTAAGAACGTGAAATTAACTTATTAGTAGAAGAAGACACTAATCATATTTCGCAATAACCACAAAAATATTTCATATATATCTAAAACAGCGGATATTTCCACATAACAGGATATATTGTAATTGACGTATGTTTTTTTCAACCTTCTAAGAATTATTACTATCGTCTTGATTGCCAGAGCATCGAAATCGGAACTTCTACTACGAGCAAGTAGTGATTTATAAAATTAAAATTACCTATGTATATTACCTTTATATCTTTGTATCCTGCAACATGGCGCAGTGCGAGAGGTCTCGGGATCAATCTTTGAGAAAATGTTTTATTTATAGACACATTATGCCTCACCTCTTTGAAAGTTTAACAAGGAGATTGATTTGTCCCATACCCTTCATATATCACGTCGTATATAATAATATATACTCAAATTGCTTTGACCCACCTTTTCGAATTTCGGGCGAACTTGATTACACGCTAGTTAGGCTTGCTCGATGCAATAATTGTAAGGATGTGAATCGATTTTGGTAAAAGGATACGCTAGCATGATAACAATATTCAATTGAATATACCTGAGATTTAACCATGAAGAAATCCTATGATAGAAACTTAAAAAATATTTAAAAAAGTATGATATAACGTAAAAAAAACTTAAGAGTAGCATTAAAAGCTGTAAAATATTTCTAACAGCCACACACTTCATTTGATCTTGGCTCTATTTCTTATCTTTAGTGACAGGAAATTTTTAAATTATGTCTCGAAATTAAAAAAAAAGATCTAATGCGTACGGTGCGGTACGTATGAGTCAAAAAACAATTTTAGTAGAGCCATTATATTGATAAAAAAAGCCAGTAGATTTTGGCAGAACGGTAGTAGAATCGGTGATCATTTTGATAACCTCGAATTGCTGCTGCTCTGCTGGTCAGACGTAAAAGAAGAAGTATGACTTGGTCCTTACATGTAGTCCCCCTGTAAGGATTTTTAATTTCCTGCACAAGAAGCTTTTGCTCAAATTCTTTTCTTTTCCTCGTCGCGTTATACAAATACTACTAAGTATCTAATAGAAAAAAATGTCGAAAACCAATTTTGATAAAAACCTTATTTTTTAAATTAATTAAATTACGTTTCGTCTTCCAAACGTGAAAGATTACATGAAACCAGGTGTTGGGTTTTTTGTTAAAAATGAACAAATGTGTTTCAGATCAATCATTCAGGAGAGGAAGTGAAAAAAAACGTCTCGTGGTTACGGTTATTTTGTTATCCTCTACCACATTTTTTCGATTTAGCCTTAACTATATTGCTATACTTATATGGTTTTTTCGTTCGTGACTTCATGTTAGCAATAGGTATGTCATAGTCATCAGTCTCATTACCTTTCCCATTTTTAAGATTTAAATCGAATAAAAATAATTTGCTTTACAATCATTTGCACTCTACAAATCCTACACAAACTAAGTATAAAAAAAAATATTATCGTCAAAGAGCCCTTTGTTAAAACGTGTGGCCCAACATTGCGTTAAAAACAAGAGAGATCTATCTTGATCCCAAAATAACACTTACTCGCTTGCCTGCAAATGAAACAGATCAGTGAAACAGACACAGTAAAATGTCCGCACCATACCTCACATATGGGGATACAGGAGCACACTGTTACTGTATATTTAACGTGACTTATTGACCTATTTCTAACGGAAATCAGTGGTAGAATTGCGGTCGATACAAAAAATTGTTTCCGTTCGTACCAGACTAGCAGATGTTATTGTTTGTTGAAAAAAATTGTACCGGTGCAAAAAATGTGTAAGATTCCATAATTTTTTTAAGTGATTGAAACTTAAAAACAAGAATTTTCTTACTTACCCAATATACCAACCTACATCACCATATAAAAACGCTAAAACAACTTTTTATACATTAAACAAAAATAAGGGTGTACCTAATAAAAGCTTTAAATAAATCCTTTGGTTGATTACGAGAAAATGTAGTTATTAAGAAGGAAAGCTAATTTTATTTTAAATTTTACCAAAAGTTATTATATATGAAATAAAAATAATTTCTATGTCTTTTTAATTACTTTAATAACAAAATTCTTGTTCTTCATTAACAAATTTAGATATCAACATCTAAAACTTAACATGATTCTATTTCAGGCTTTGAACATCCATTTACTGCCCCGTAATGACTTTTTAGGTAGTATTTTTCATTAGCAAGATTCTTATATGAATGAAAATGCGGAAGCAAAGCCCGCCAAACATAATTTTCCGTAACAAAAGTTTAAAACGCACCGGAAAGTCGCGTTTATTTCCCGCCATCCGGCGCCTCGACCAACCGAAATTTGGCGCCTAAAAACCTACGGCCAATGAGAGCGGTGGCCGCCATTTTAAACCAATGACGGCCGATCCCGCGCTCGCCCCATCGCGTCATCCTCACATCTCGAAAATTAGTACGACGGAGCAGTGAACCCCGACGGTAAATTTGTGATTTTGCGTGGAATTCTATACAAAACTTCGTAGGTAAGTTAATTTTTATTATAGATTTACGAAAATATTTGACGTTTAATTTGTTTTTTGAACTAAAACTTCATCACGCGCCGATACGTATTAATAATTCTTAATTCAAATGTCGATGCTATGAAATGTAAACTGATATTCTAAACTAAATTTGAAATAAAAAAATTGTTGCAAACAACCAGTACTCATTATTTTTATTATTTTAACGGAATACAATAAACTATTTTATTTCATAATCAGTAATGAAAATCCTTTGATTCGACTCAAATACCCGTGTCTCGGCTTGGCAAAATGGCGGCTTCGTGACATTCATCTTCTATCTCTTTCCAATGAACATGAAAATGGCCGCGTGCGCTGGAGACAGCAATACTTCAATAGATAAGAAGTTTCAAAAGTATGCATCACACGTCGTACGTAACTAGACACGTCTTCGGTCTTCGTAAACAAGGGAATTACGGTGTTGCCATAATGAGGAACATAAAATGCCTATAAATAAAAAAAATATATATTAAACCCCATAAATATGATTATGAATCATATTATTTCTACCTTAAAAGAAGTAAAACATCCGTTTTTTAAAAACATAACGATTTAAAAGATTAAGCATTTGTATTTTATAAACAATAATTGTTATATAAAAAAACAAACATTATTTGCCTTGTATTAACAGTCGTTTTATTTTCGTTTCATTTAAAAAGAGTACATCAATCTGGGACAGTCGCAAGTTGCAACACAATCCCATCCTAATTATTTTAAAACAACGACGCCAGCGCCACTCAGTGTCGAGAGGGGGCACTAAATGCGACGCGTTGAGCGTAACCTCGCCAGAGCACGCGCACTGCGACGCACACAGCCGCACCCTAACGCAATTCACGCGCAAGCCCAGACGCAGCATAGTCGAAATTTTGAGCTTCGCACGTGCGGTCGTGTATTTTCTCGCCGCGCGTCGCCGCGTCTTACGTCTTGTTTACAAACTATCACTTAATTAGTATTCTTATTGGTGCGTGATGAAACTTTAATTCGTGTTAAGAACTATACTGTTATTGTTCGTTTAGGCGTCGATGCAATGTTGTTTGAGAAAAACTCGAAGATGTCCGCGCTGAGTGTGAGAGCTCCGGGCCTACAAGCTACCACTGTGTTGAACACTAGGTCATTGAGAGTACAAGGAGGGACCACTCTAGACTCGGTGCGGCGGAACCTATTCGGCTGCACGGATAGAGAGGAGAACAGGAGATTTATCGAGCGAGAGTTGGCCCGCCAATTGGACTTAGATAGCCAGCGATGGGGCTTCGACTTTGCGAATGAGAAACCTTTACCGGGCACTCAGAGATTTGCCTGGCAGCTCGTTCCGGCGTCCACAATACCAGCGGCGTTGCGGCGGTCACCGATCACCATAACACAAAAGCCTAACTCGCCAGCGAAAGATACTAAAGTGACTTCTCCAGACAGCAATAAAACGCAAAAGAGAATAACAGGTAAGCTTTATTTTTGCCTTATTACAAAGTAAACATTCAATACCTCACTAATGCACACTCTTATCGGTTGTATTGCAGCGATGTATTGTTTATATTATGACAGATAAGAACACTTCGAAAATCGAATATTTACGTGTTGTTTGTGGATCAAAACACACAATATCTTTTTTTCAGCCAGTTACTAGGTGAGTAAATAAGTATGCGTCAAAAACAGGTTACAGATAATATACAAACATTTTATTAAACAAAGTAACTGTCAATCATTTTAGGATGGGGTCAAAATATATTTTTAAATTATTATAATTACTGTCAGTCAGTACTAATTTAGCTAGAGCTAGCGGTGTAAAATGTCACAAGCGATAGGTAGATACATAAAAGTGCTCATAGCAACAGCGTGCATAGTATAAATAAAGGTGACCGAGTAGCAGTGTGATTGACACAACACAATGCACATAGCACGCGCCGATGTTAAAATATCAATCTGTCAATGTTGGTAGGAGATTTTATTTATTCACAATGAAGCTTAACACTTTAACACAAGCTCTGATTGTAATGACCTCTACGTGTTGTTAATCGAACATAATATCGATAGTGTATATTTTTACTAATAATCAAATTAGCCGTTTAAAAATAAATAATTATGTTATATGGACAGACAATATATATTAAGGTTCAGAAAATATGTTTTTGCCTCTTAAAAAACCTGAGGAAAACAATCTTGAAGTATTACTAGATTGTTACAAAGTATATTAAGGTTTTACTCTAGACTGTACGGCGTCTGATACCTACTTAGATGTCGTGTTAGTTTCGCTACAACTCAATGTATCACGTACTACATAATAGCAACAATGTACTGAAGGCGTTACAATTGCATCACGGAGAGTGAAACGTTAAACTGTGTCGCTATGACTATACACTGTAGGTATTATATCCACGAGTTAGCGGACCCAAATTCGTATTTGAAGTTACACGATCCAATTTCAAACAACAATTTTGAGAACCGTGTTCTTATTTTAAATGACTACGATTCGATTTTCGAAAATTAAATTATAAATTGAATAAAAAAAATAACTATTTGGATTGTAGAAGAATTACGACACAAATTTTAAGATGCTCTAATTTGATTGCGATTGAGAAACACCACAGAACGCTTTGGATGCCGGTTCATGCCCCGCCAGTGCCGTATTTTATTTTAATTTAAAAAGGTTTTCGATTCAAAAACACATGTTAACCGTTTTCAAAGATTGCCCAGCTTTCGTCACAATGTGAATTGTGACGAAAGCTATATATATATTATATGTAGAGTCCAGTATTGTTACGGCAACCGTATTCAAATGACAAATCACAATCTTGTACGTGCTAAACGCTCGAGCACACAGCAAAGCACAAAGGTGTCACATTGACCTACCATCTGACACTAATCGAGACCCACCAACGACTATAAATAATTAAATAATGCGATAACAAGATATCCAGTTACTAGATTGCAATTCATTCTTTATCCCTTGCTATTTTTTGCTTATCTGGAGGTGTAATTAAAAATTAAGATTTTTAAACTCTTAATTTTTAATTTTCGCTTTCAAAGGGTGGCGTGGCCGTGTTAAACTACTTATTAGATTGTTTTTATGGTCACACCCTTTAATGGCAAAACAATGACTTCCTTGTTTTTCAAGGCGGATGGTTTTTTGCTCAAGATGTAATGGGACTTTCTTGGTTTCCTTAAGTACTATTATTACGAATTACTTTAACTTGAAAAGGGAATGCTCTTAGTGGTTTGGTGATTTTGTTTTAATTATAATTTTAGGCCGGAAATACAACAAAATAACAAAAATTTAATTTTGTACAAGTTAAGTATGTATTAGATTTATTCCTAAACATTTTAGGCTTTGTTTTATATTTCCTCATATAAGGGAATCGCATCTCTTGCTTCTATTAGTTGAAGTTTTAACTTTGCATCAAGTTAAAATCCATCTGCCCATTACTATTATGGGTCATTCTACATCTACATACAAATATCGCGTTAATGAAAGCGTCCGTTGAGTGCCATAGCCCCTGTTGTAACACGTATTAGATTACTAATACGAATTGACCTAGTTTCGTTTGTTTTGACACAATGTGCGCCTGCGCACTAGCCTCCCACACTTGTCCCATTTTAGATTACACATGTGGCAAGTTGTAAAAGGAGATAATAATAAAATACTACGTAAACACTGGCGTATCTAACGAGTAATGTTTATCTCAATTTTAGCCAGTCAACTTATTTTTTACATAAATTTACACGTTCTTATAGATTCATATTAACAGGAAATACATCAACGTATAAACAATGATTCATTAGTAAAAGGGAACAGATAGTAAAATAGCTGTCCTTGTCGCACCTATGTGAAAATTATTATTGCTTTTCACTTCAATAACTAACATGGCGCTCGTTAAGACTTCATTGATCATCGACATTCCTATATCGCTTTACTTGCGATTTTTCATTTAAGATTATGTAATCTTTAATTTAAAAATCGAAAATGAATTGAAAAAATTTTCGTCTCGGGCAGGACTTGAACCGACATCGTCAGCGTTCCGTGCTCTACCAATTGAGCTACCGAGTCCTATGTAATCTTTGAATTAACTTTTGATATATTAGGTTAGAATAAAAGCAGGGTCGAAATAATAACCAAAAAAATACTTTCTCAGACACAAATCTGAAAGGAAACCGTCGTAAAATCACGCATACATTATAATCTTTGAAACACTTACATTGTCTAGAACTGACCAACCGTGTATTCCTGGCAGGGGGCCCAAATAATCGGGTCACCCAATTTCTAACAAACCCCTAATACTATTTCTATTCGTAATTACACCTTTCCGATGTCAATGAACTGCCATAAGTGGACTTAACTGCAGGGATTCTTGAATTGTATGCATTTCTTAGAATTACAATTCGTAACTTAAGACGGTCAAGTTATTATAACAGTACACACTATTTAAATAAAACATTTTAACGGTTTAAAACGCAATAGTTGAACTTATTTGAAAATCATTTTAACTACGGCTCGACGTTTCGGTCTCCCCGTGTTCACGGCTGTGCTGCAAAGCATCCGAAACGTCGGGCCGTAGTTAAAAGAATTTTCAAGTACGTTTAACTAATATAGCGTTACAAACGGTTAAAGTATTTTATTTAAATGTGTACTGCTCGCGTAAACTATCTGTATTTTACTGTCTGCAGTATTTAGGTACACACCATTGTCATACATTATGTAAGCTTGCTATTCCCGACTGATCTCTATAGGTCAACAGTGCATCAGCCGATTCTTTATTTAAAGCATCGCTTACACATATGTACATTATTGTTCTTCTAATAAGTCAAAACGCTGCCTAGTAAAGAGAAAACATCGCGCATGCGCACTGCCATTGCTAATTCGCGTACAATTAGACGCGTGCGCCTTTGTAACGCACCCTGTCTGTATTGCATCGGCTATATTGATTTAAAATTTTAAATTGCTGAGTTTTCCATAATAAAATGTATTTCTTATATGTATCTACATAACAAAAAACACGTTTTATATAAGCGCGTTCATTCTGTGTAATATAATTTATTTGTATAGTTAAAGGGTTACTTAAATCGAATAAAAACATTCTTAAGTTTACCTATTGCAAATTCACGAGTGAGGCACAGAAGTGGTCCACTCTAATGAATCCAATAATATTCTTTTAGTAGACCCCACCTATTGCTTACAGACACGCGTGCTAATAATAAAAAAGCGCATTAGAAATATCGCAGTGATTGTTACGAATACAATGCGACGCGTGCGTCCCTTCCCGGCTCACCCTCGCACCAACGGCTATATTGATTTTTTAACTGTCACTTTCCCCAACTCATAGCTTCCTGTTACAATATTATTATTGGAACAGATGAGGCAATATTCTTAGTTAACTTTATAATTTCAATTTGTTTATTTATCAGGACTCGTCACATGAGTAGCCTTTATGTACTACATTTTGTTAAATTTGGGCTTTATTTGCACAAGAATAATCAATATAATTCATATAGGAGTCAAAAATAAAGTCTTAAATCGGAATTTTTTTTTTGGGAAAAAAAAAAAAAAAACCGGGGGGGGGGGGGGGGCGCCCCCCCCCCCCCCTTTTTGGCACCAAAACAAAGGGGCCCCCGGGGGGGCACCCGCCCCGGCTTGGACCCCCGCAAAGAGGGTGGGAGCTTGAAGAGCTGAAATCGGAATTATTGTATAGGACGATGGATGGGTTAGATAAGAATAAAAAAGAAACACACACATCAGCTTATCTCTAGAAAACAAGATCGCGAAAACTCGATGTGGGTGATTAGAAAAAAGTCTGTTAACGCACGTGTTTGATATTTGAAAATTCTATCAGATAGGGGAACGTAACGGTCGCCGCGGCATCTGCTACCCCCGCGTGCTTTACTCCAGCATAATATTTATAGCACCCTCTGTACATTCTGCATCGAATGACCGTGGGGATGTATCATCTGTCTGCGGATCGATTTCGTTTTCTACACGCAACTGGCAACACTGACATTCCATTTATGATCGCCATGGTTTCTGCTAACGTTCTATTTTCGAAAGTTGTGCAACGGCTGTAGTAATAACCACCGACTAAACCACAACAATTTCAGCGAGACATTCAAATCTCAACATAGATTAAATAAATATCTATCCATCTTTGCGTTATTAACCAACATATTCTTCGTATTATTTCATATATGTCCGCATATTCATATTTTTTAACACGCAACGCTTAAAATTAATTGCAGTTATAACTTTTGCTAGCGTGCTATTTTTGAAGTCATTGTGCAACACTGGGGTTCTATTTTTATTACGCTGCGTGTGCATACGCAGATTCCTTCACTGCGTAAACCACGTGAGAGAGTCGCTGCTATTTTTCGTTCGGACTGAACTATATAGATCACATTTCAATTTTCACAGAAGAGATAAAACTGACCAAAATATAAAAACATTCTGTGAATTTCG